GTTTCTCTCTCATCAATGTTTCTAGCTCTCTATCCCTCTTCCTTCCTCTTTGTGGAAAATCAATAAAATATATTAAAAAAAATAAAAAATAAAATAAATAAATATCTTACGACAAATGTAGAGGAAGCCTTTTTGAATACATGTCACGCCAGATGCTGTTGCTGACTTTTGCACTTTTTTTTTTTTTTTTTTTTTTTTTTTTTTGCTCGTTCATCGTCATGAGACCTCGTGCCTAATGAGGATGATCTTTGAGCACTTCTCCGGTGCTAATTGCCGTGAGCTGAGCTGTCAGCTGATAATTCTCCAAAACTCTCTTGTCGTGTAAAGATAAGGTTGGCCTTGTGGCGCTATTGGAATCCGCTCTCATCCGTTGTATAATCCAGCTGTGGTTGGAGCATGTTTTTACTTTATGTTTCCCGATAGTGATTTGTTACAAGTTAGTGCGTGGAAAGATGGAACCTGCATCATCCGTTTGCTGGGACACCGGGTATTGTTTGCTGGTGTCACGAGTTATTTTTATCCTGGCCTACCTTCACTCGGGTGCCTTGTAACAACTCAGTTCTCCCGTTGCTTTCTCTGTCTGCAGTGCTGCAGGCTCACTCTTTGTATTGGGCACTTGGTGTTGATTCAGAAATAAACCCAATTGTGGCCAAAACTGGTTTGGCTCAGTGGATAGAGCGTCGGCCTGCAGACTGAAAGGTCCCGGGTTCGATTCCGGTCAAGGGCATATATATTGGTTGCGGGCACATCCCCTGTAGGGGGTGTGCAGGAGGCAGCTGGTCGATGATTCTCTCTCATCGATGTTTCTAGCTTTCTATCCCTCTTTCTTCCTCTCTGTAAGAATTCAATAAAATATATTTTAAAAAAACAAAACAAAAAAACAATTGTGAGTGGCATCAAAACCGGGTGGTGGCAGTCAGCTGTTGGAAGGTCACCCAGGTGACAGGGGAAAACCTTTTAACAAAGCCTCACAGAGCTCTAAGAATGTGGTCAAGGATCCCCGTAGGAGGAACGTTGAAGTAATCCTGTCCCTGATGTTACAAAGAGGAAACTACACCAGAGATGCTGTTTAAGCTCAAGGTTACCTAGCAGGTTGGAGGCGAAACTAGGTTAGGACGAGGTCATTAGACCTGCCGTGCTCTTCCTGCCTCATCGTGCGGTTGCACATTTGCAAAAGACTTTACATATGATTCTTACTCTCCTCCTAGACGCACGTGTGCATCCAACAAACAGCCCTGGAGCTGGTCGGCCGAGGTATTGAGGTTCATATCGTTGCTGACGCCACCTCATCGAGAAGCATGATGGACAGGATGTTTGCTCTCGAGGTAATTGTCCTGCAGCAGAACAAGTCATTTACCAAGTTTCCCAAACCAGTGTGAAGAGCGCTGAGTATTGGACAGCAATGCAGGGTGTACCTCTGCGACGTGGGCGTGGGCAGGCAGGACCGGGCTCCGGGGTTTCCCGAGACCTTTGCGATCTCACCCCCGGAGCCTATTTTATAGCCGCTGCCTCCTTGGATCTCGATAACTAGTGACGCCAAGAGCTCCTCGATGTCTTTTGTCATAACTTTGCTGGAGATTTGTGCATGAACTGAGAGAAATTCCAGTAAGCCGAACCGGAACCATTTGGAGATTTGCCAATTAAAAACAGCTCACCTAGGTTTAACTCACCCCAGATCTAGCCAGACCGAGGGCGTAGTGGGCCTAAGCCTGGTTCAGCCTCATGGGAGGTTTCCTCAGGCTGAATTTCTGGGACTCGGAGGCCTGTCCCTGACTGCATAGCACTCACGGGCGGTGTATCGTGGTTCTCTGACTAGACTCGTAGGGGTGTCGAACTCAATCAGAGAAGGGGCCAAAATCTAAAATCCAGCCTAAATCGCGGGCCGAATGGTTTACTGAACAGTCATAAACTGTCATTGTGATGGAAACGCAGCGGAGTGCAGTGATGACAGCGCGGTGCGGGCCACATTGCAAGGCCTGGCGGGACGGATTTGGCCCGCGGGCCTTGTGTTTGACACATGTGGACTAGAGTGTCAAGATGTGCCTCATCGTCCTTTGAAATAGTCCCTCCATATTGTGAAGATTCATTGTGTGTGTGTGTGTGTGTGTGTGTGTGTGTGTGTGTGTGATGCTAACCCTATAATGCTTTTAGAGTAATGTACATGTAGGTTGAGTTGCTGAGTTCTTTAACGGATGGCCTATGAACCACTTTCTCTGTAGGATGGCTGTCCTCTTTTTAGCCTGCAGCGTTCCCTGGGGGTGAGGAGGGGAAATGGGGAGGAATCTGGGGTGGAAAGGAGAGGAGTCAGCGGGGAGGACTGGTGGAGAGCAGGTGGGGAACAGCATTTGTTTAAGGTCCTGGTTGGCCATCGCTCCTCTGTTTTATTCCTGCCGCAGTGAATTCTGTTTGGGGATTATGGGTGGAAACAGGTGTATTGGTTTTGGTTAAATATTTCTAAGTCCATTTGGACTGTTGGGTTCCCTGGTACCTAAGGTACTAAGTGTTGCTTTTCCCCACCTCCGCAAAGATCTTTAAGCTGCTTTTACAGCCGGGAGTTCATCATCTTCCACATTTCGGATTTTAATGATGAGTTTATCACTCCCACCGCCAGATCCTCGCTGCCCAGCCAGCTGCTCCGCTCCTCGGTGGATAATTCATCTTCCTGGGAGTGCTGCGTTCTGGACCTTGAAGTGTTTCCAAGGAAGTGAAAACTCAAAGCATACAAGGAGCACAAATCTTCCTTGTTTATAAAGATAGTTCAAGGACGTTTGTCCTACTGTCATGTTAGTTTTTTAGACGTGTCTTTATTATGGCATTTATCATAGAAGATTGTTATTGTTGGCAATCCCGTCTTCTCCAGAGACTCAGAATAAAATCTTAGCTTTTTATCATCAGAATCGCATTCCTTGAGAGGCGGCCTGTGATCTCAGTGACGAGGGGTCCACCCGGGGAGGGTTCATGTGGGTGTGAATGCAGGTTCTGGCGTTTTGTAAATTTGTTATCTGATAGCTGTGCCTCAGATTGCTCACCTGCGAAGTGGAAGTGATATGCACTACCTGGGAGGGTTTGGGGAGAATCAAATGAGATAATGAGTTGGTAGCACTTAATACCGTGTCTGACACTGTACTCACACATGATAGCTGCTGCTTTTATTCTTATTGTTATTATTCGTTGTCTTCCTGAGGTTAGTCTTATCAGAAATGTATTTGCTTACAAGACCCGGAAGGGACTAGTCCTGAGAAGTTCTTAGAAGGAGAGAAGAGAATATAGTCCAGGGTGGACTGGGAAGAGCCTGAAGCAGCCAGCGTTGAGTTAAGGCGTTGAGGTTGAAAGGGAAAACAGAATCGGGGCAGACGGGGAGAGGGGAGCCACGCCTGCTAAGCCTGGAATCGCTATGGAACTGTTGTAGTTTGTCCCTGAGTTATTGAGAGAAACGTTACATTTTCTCCTCTATTTTATGACCCTGAAAGTTAAACAGCAACCTGCCAGCTCCCCTTCCTGGTTCCTTTAGAACCCAGCTCCTGGAGATCATTCCTGAGACCACCCGTACTGCCTGACAAGGTCATGACACTCATAAAGTTTATAGCTGCCATCACGGGAGTTCCTGTGCCAGGGTCTGTGCTGGGAGCTTTACTCAGCAAAGCTCTTGGAGCGCCTGCCACCTAGCAGGCTTTGTTGCTTCCCACTAATAGCTGTAGAGTTAAGCGCAGAGTGAAATGGAATAAAGCACTCTCCTGAAGTTCATGTCCTTGTGCTTCTGGGGAGTCATTAGTGTTGCTTGGAAATTTAATGGATTTGCTTCCCACACACACACACACACACACCCCCTAACCCCCACACCCTGTCCTCTCTTAAAGCCATCATGGGTTTGTGCTCTTGCATTTTTCGGTCGGTGGGCCGGACTAGCCATTTCTGTGGCCTAGTTGGACGGATGCTGCACGTGTAAGGGGAGCCCGTCGGAAACCTGTTGCCATGTCCCCGTGTGTGGTCAGAACAGCGGGCGTTTCCACTGCCCTTCGAAAGCCAGGAACCAAAGCGGTTTGGGACCAGCCCTGCGGGGGCCCTGTAGCTCAGGGTGTGAGAGGAGCCTGCCAGGGTCTGGAAAAGCCGCCGTGGCTCCCTCCCCGCATCCAGGCTGTGGTTGGGCGGGTGCTGTGCGAAGGCCTACCAGTCACGCCTTCCCCTGCACGGGTTCTAGGCTTGATTATTCTTGAAGCCAATCGATAGTGGCCGTAAGCCAGTCTTGTAAGGTCGTAGAGGCTTTAGTGGGTCTGTGCCCGGAGCTCCCGGCCTCCCCCACCACCCCCACCACCGTGGCCGGCTGACTCTCGGCATCTCTGAAGGCTGCTGAGGGGACCAGGCCCGGGTCCGCAGAGCGCTGGGGAGCGCTGGCTTCTTCCTGGGACATCCGGTCTCTTCCTCGGACCTGGGAACAGCTCTCTGTCCTTCCTGCCTCACTAAGGAACTGGAGGGATGAGTGACAGCTCCCTTTTGCTGGCATTTGGGATTTTCTAAAGCACCTTCACTGACATTGAGTGTGTGTGACTCAGATCCAGGCTGAACGCTCGAAGTCTGCTGATGCCACAGGGTAAGACGGGCAGCACGGCCGGCGGGGCGGGCACTGGCGGGGTTTGAACGCCTGGACACACGGCTGGGCTGCAGCTAGTCCTGCATGTTCTCCCCGTCCTTCTGCCCGAAGCAGGCACACAGTCCTGTGAGATTCCTGCAGGTTTGGAGATGTTAGAGGACGGGAAAGCAAGGAGGAAAGTCATTCCCAGAGGTGCTGGAAACACCCAGAGCTCACTCCCTTCCGGCGTTTACCCAGCGTGAGGGGCACCAGCACCTCGCTTTGTGCTTCCTCTTTCCTCCATGCGTCGTCCCTGCTGTCTTTTCTCCCGAGAGTTCTGGTCCTCTGCCCTGCACGCCCTCCGTCCCGGCTCCCGAGGCCCAGGCCTGTTCTCTCAGAAGCAGGCTGAGGCTCTTCCGCCTGCATCTTCGGGGTGAAGAGCAGGAGCATGCCGGTGGGAAGGGAGGGCCTGCGGATCGATAGTCGTCTAAAGGAGGATTTACTTTCCCTTTACAGGGCTGTCTGGCTATTCAAGCAACTCCCTCCCTCCCTCTCTCCCTCCCTCTCTTCCTCCCTCCTTCCTTCCCTTCCTTCCTTCCTTCCGGCCTAATGCACCAAATTTGTTCAAGGGGATTGGTCCCCCACCGCCTCTGCCTTGGCCCCCGCCTGCCATGGCAGCCACCTCCTCCGCCTCAGTCTCGGTCACCTCAGCTTCGTTGGGAAAGTCATCTGATCTAATTAGCATATTACACTTTTATTATTATCAATTATATTTAATCTTTATTGTTGAAAATATTACAAATGTCCTCTTTACCCCACTGCCCCCCCCCGCCCCCACCATTGACCTCTCCCAGCCTGCCCCCACCCCCCAGCCCAGGCCTTCAGCACCCTACTGTCTGTGTTCCAGGATTGTGAATATATATGCATATTCATATATTCATAACAAGGTCGTTGGTTGATCTCTCCCAACCCCCCACCCTCTCCTGCCTTCCCTCTGAGGTTTGACAGTCTGCTTGGTGCTTCTGTGTCTCAGATCTATTTTTGTTCATCAATTTTTGTTCATTAGATTCCCAGGAGTCACTCACATGCGGAATCTAATGAGCAACTCCTCCTTTCCAATGAGAGGCTGACCTGGGCCCTGCCCTCTGGCTTGCCTGGAAGTTTTTCTCTCACCTCATCGTCCATGGTCCTCATATCAGATGTTTCTGGGGATAATTGTTGGTCCGTTGTTTTGCTGTTTGTTTGGTTGGTTGCCTTGGGTTTCGGATAACAAGTACATCCAAACAATGAATCTTTACTCCAGAATTCTCTTCTCCTCTCCCTTCTCCCTTCCTCCTCCTCCCTGGTCTTTCCCTCCACTTTCCCCTGTTTGCCTTCCTCCCTCCCTCTTTTCTCTCCCCACCTCTCCACACTCTCCCTCCTTCCTTTCCTTACATTTCTGTCCTTAGTTCTGCACTGTGATTCCACTGGAGAGTTTGGCGAGGACTCTTTGACCTGTCAGTGAATTTACACAATCTTAACTTTTATGCTGTAGTTAATGATGTAGCTAACATCATTAATGTGTTAATGATGCTGGCAGTGGTGGTGGGTCCATTGTAATGAGGGGCACATTCTTTTTTTTAATATATTTTTGTTGATTTCAGAGAGGGAGGGAGAGATTGAAACATCAATGATGAGAGAGAGTTACTGATCAGCTACCTCCTGCACATCCCCACTGGAGATCAAGCCCACAATTCAGGCATGTGCCCTTGACTGGAATTGAACCCGGGACTCTTCATTCCCCAGGCCGATGCTCTCTCCACTGAGCCAACCGAGCTAGGGCCAGGGGCACATTCTTAAACGAAACCTGAGGCTCTCCCACCTCCTGTCCTTTCTTACTTTCTTAGTGGGAGGACACACATGCTATCCGTCACATGTTTGTGGACAGAAAAGGTAAGTGAGAATCACTGTTTTACAGCCTTGATTTCCCATCTATCCTGGGCAAAACATGGGCTGTGTTCTCTTACTTGTTTCTAGCCTGTAGTGCCAATATCGAGAATAATCACAGTGGGCTTGTGGTGTGGGTTTGAAGTCTGCCCCCGTCACTGAATTCGATAGGATAGCTAAGGACCATGGATTTAATGGAGAATACTAATTACCGTGTCCCAGCATTCTTTCTGCTGTTGTAACCTGGTGTTTGTGCTCACGCTTCTGTCTTCGTTTGTCTTTATCTCTCCTCTCTCTAAAGCGCCTTGCTCGGACTGGGATCATAGTGACGACCAGCGAGGCCGTTCTGCTGCAGCTGGTGGCTGACAAAGACCATCCGAAGTTCAAGGAAGTCCAGAATCTGATCAAGGCGAGTGCTCCGGAGTCGGGCCTGCTTTCCAAAGTCTAGAGCCTTTGAAGGACTGGCGTGCCACCCACCATCAGGGGCCAGGGCTGTGACTGGACAAGCCCTTGTCTCTACTAGAATTAAAATGTTAAGTCAAATACTGGCTCTTTTTTTGCGCCTCTTAGTAAAACCTAGTAAAAATGGTCTAACATTTGGGTACCAGCATTTAGTTACCGATGTCAAAGGCTTCAGGTGCTGCTGATCTTCTTTTCTTCTTCTTGACGTGCCCTTATTTATTTAAAAAATATATATAATAGAGGTGCCTGTTTTGTCTATACTTTGTACATTGGTCATAGCTCAAGAGTGCACACTCATGAAGTTTTCTTATGTTGTGCACTGCAAAGAAAACACGGTGTTGGCAGTAATTTGACTTTGTATTATTGTAACACATATGTGAAGGCTTTAATGTGGACTCTGTGCTTTTACTTTACAAATTGGTTGAGATAGGATTCTCACGTGAGATTTAAAAGCAGGTCTCTGATTCATGGTACCCCCTCCCCTCATAATGCAGTCAGTGTACTGACTGAGTTGCATTCATCTAACCAGATGGAATTAGGTTGGGTAATTATATATCTTTCATGTTTATGCTAATTTTCTTATTCTGGTCACCATCACTAATTCTCTGTTAATGTTCTCTTTTTTTAATTGAGTCTTTTCCTAGTTAGACTCGTTGGGTCATTGTTTTAATTTTGTAAACAGATGGGATGATTCGCAATGTCACTGGAGGGCTGTTTTTAAATCATTGAGGTATTACCTTAGCTGACTATCTTTACAAAAATATCAAATATATCTTCTAATATGTATAAGATTTAGCAAAAAGTTAAAGGCTGGATAAAAATGTAGTTCTCAAATGTTCATATTTTTGTTTGATATTTTGCCACTTACCCTCCACTTATATAGGTACCAGTAACAATTTGGTAGTATTAATTTTGTAGTCATTGCTATCCTTAGATAAATTTATTTTCGTTAAATAACTAGTAAAGAGTTTTAAAACTTTTTTTAAGTATTATGTGAACTATGGATCATTGCTGTCTTTTATATTAAAGTAATTGAAGAAAATATATTATGTGAATGAAATTATTGTGTCCCCCACTACACAGCTCTCTGAGTACTATTCCAGGCATTCTACTACTTATTTAAAGGTAGAATATAATGTATAAATGTTGCCATTTATAATTCTGAGAATGTTCAAAGGAGGAAAATCCTTTGCAGAGGTTTGCTGCTGGGCCGTCTTCATGATTCAGGAGCAGTGGAGATGTTGTCTAGTAACAGACAACAACCTCACAGTTCTTCTTGTGGGTGTGTTTCAGTTTTTTCTTTTCAGCAGCCTCATGTGTCAAAAAGAAGAATCAGAGATTCCCCCACATTTTAAAGTAGTTCTTAATAAATTTGATGTAGTGCTTTTCAAACTTCAATATGAGTGCCAATCACTTGGGGATCTTGTTCAAAGGCTGACTCTGGCTCAGGAGGTCTGGGTTGAACCACACTGAGTAGCAACGATTTGACTGACAGCACCAGGGTCCCTTCGCTGCTCCTTCCCTTCTTTTTTCATGAAATGCCGCCACCACGAAGCTTTTCGGAGCTGAAACCACGCCTGTGACCCTGCCTCGCTTCCTGTGGCCGCCATGCCAGGTTACCCCAAACAGCACACTTATCATCACAGCTCTGCAGGTTCGAAGACTGAAATGGGTCTCCCTGGGCTAAAGTCCATCTTTCCCAGGGGAGGGTAAGTTCCTTGAAAGCAACACCTGTGCGTTGTCTAGCCTCCTTCTGGAAACACGTTGTGAGAACCTAGTAAGTTCTAAATAGTGTGCTACATGGTCAGGATGAAAAGATGCTCCGGCAGCTTATGGTCTGGTATTGAATTAAGATTCAGGAATGTCAATTCAGTGTTAAAGTTCAGAGAAACCTAATTGGGAATTCTGCCTTCTCCCTTCTTTTTTGCAGATCATGCAAAAGCAGGATGTCAAGGCCTTATTATAGGAAAACTGAATTGATTTTAATACATTAGACTTTGAATTTGGACGTGTCTGTAACTTTGTAGGATAATAAGATCCTATTAACTGATGGACATAGAGAACTTGAAAACATAAGCAAAAGGATAGTATAGTGTATGGAACTGCAAGGGGGTTAGGAGCCAGGAGCCAGACACTTAATTTATAGAAATGCTAACACATCTGCAGACACTTAGTCTAAAACTGAAAGGGATAACCTGTTGTTCTCACCAGGAAACCCAGTACGCTGTTATATCCATTCAGGTACCACATTTCTCTAATAAGGTGTGTTAGTTTCCTCTTTAAAAGTTAACATTTGGGTAATGATGACTTTAGAGCTGGGTAGAACTTCCAAGATCATGATTTCAGAGGTCCATGCAGCTATAAAATTCTAACGTGGTTTTGTTTCACAGATTCGGCTGGTGAGGCCCAGACACACTCTTTCTGAAATTGCACAGGTGGTTCAAGACAGTGTGAGGAGAAGCAGGTTCCTTACCACATGGGCCTGCACTTTCAGTAGTGGGGAGAGGGAGGGGAGGCAATAAGAAGGATACGGTTTACAATCCATAAAACAGTCCTCTGTTTTACATGAGCAAAGCTAATGGGATACCCCTGGTGCCCACGGCTGTTCCTGTGCCACAAGCTTCAATCCAGTCTCACTTCTTTTCGGATGGTTTTTGAACTATTTCAGGAGAATGGCTGATCACACGAAAATCAGCATTTTCGTTGTTGAGTAACTATATATATCAATAGTCCCACATTGGTAATGCCTCTTCTACTTCATTGAGCATTATTGTCACTGTTTAACCTTGATTAAAAAGAACTGAATAATCACCAGGCTACCACGAGATGTATCAATTTCTTAGGTGCGATTGAAATAGATTTTTAAAATAATTGCACTTGGCTTTTAGAGTTCTTATTTCCATGTTGCTTTTATCTATGAAGCCTGAGCAAGCAGATCTCTTACCAAGGAAGTTTAGGTTTAGAAGAGAGACAAATCCAAAATGGTGGCCCAATAAAATAGCCCATGAATTGCTGTTGGAGAGATTATAATGCTAATCTGCGTGCTTTTGGAGACAGAATTCTGAAATGGGCTTCCAGGGTCCCCTCAGTGGTGTTCGCACACCTTCTCCCCGTTAACGCTCACCTCACTGGGCTGGAAGGGGTTTGCTTAGGGAATTAAGGTCTCAGATCACCTGTAGATA